TGTCTCATTAGATTTCTTGAGGATCTCACTACATTTATGGGCGGTCTCACCAGTCTTTTCGAAGGCCTTACTAAGTTTATCGTCAGCTTCTAGACAGTTCTTGAGAGACCTTAAAAGTGTGGTTCTGAACTCAATATCCTCCATTGACAATTTTGTCCTTCAGCTGTCTCCGCATTTTTTATGCTTTCTTGGTGCACCCCCTAGTGGTCTTTGTGCACAGTCTTGTTGTAGTTAAGCCTTGATTTTTGTAGGTAATACTAGGGGGGATTTGACCTCCAGGCCAATTGGCTGTGAAAATCAGCTGTGTCTGCAGTGGGAGAACTTCTGTCCTCTAGGGAGGTGCTAATCTAGCCTTTGTCAGATGCTATCCAGCAAATGCCTCTGTGCAAGGCTTGGGCGGGAGGGTGCCAGGGGATCAACAGTGCGGGCGGTGTGAGCAGTTATGACTGGTCTCAGTCCTGTCCTCAGAGGCTCTGCTTCTCAGTGTCCCAGCAATTGCTGCAAGTACCTTGGAGAGAAAGCTGCCCTCGAGTTCCGACCGATGCCAGACAGTCCCGCTTCTCCCGTTTGAGTCTGTGTCCCAAGAGACTCGCCTGGAACTGGAGCTCAGAGCCTGAGACTCCCTCCCGATTGAAAAAGACAACTGCGCCCTCAGCCGCAAGCCCACTGCGCATGCACCTCTGGACCTTTGTATTTTACTTCTGCACCGCACTTCCTCTGAGTCTCGGTATGCTTTTCTCCTTCCTTCTAGTTGTAGAATTTACACTCAGCCAGCCTTCCTGTGGTTCTGGATGATGTCCATTCCGTTTTTTAGTTGTATTTTTGAAGTGGTTGTGCGAAGCAGCAATCTCCGGTGTTTACCTATACCTCCATCTTCTCTTTCTCAGGATTTGCAATTATTTTCTTCTGTTCTCTAGATTTCCTTTCATTTCATTTTGTTTATTGCTGTTGTGCTGTGACAAAGCTTTTTTCTTTATTTGTTGCTATCTGGACTGTTTGTTTTTTCTTTTTTCTCTGGTTGGTGTCACATTCAGAAAATCATGTCAAAACAAATCTCCATTCATTGAAGAAACTATCTTTCCTTTTTTCTCTATCTTGCAATTTTGACAAAGATTACATGAATGTATGTGCCAGGCTTGATTTTTGTGTTTTCTGTCCTGTTGATGTATGTGTCTGTGTTTCTTCAGGAACACACTGTTTGCTTGCTCTCTCTTTATAAGTAATTGAAGTCAGGAAGTGTGATGCCACTAGCTTGCTTCTCACTCACGATTGTTTTTGCTATTCACATTCTTTAGTCCTATGCATTTCAAGGATCTCTTTTCATGTCTTCGTAAAATACCTTAAGAATTATCCTCAGGGTTCTATTTATTTATTTATTTATTTTTAATGCCTTCTTTTAAAAATATATTTTATTGATTTATTACAGAGAGGAAGGGAGAGAGATAGAAAGTTAGAAACATCGATGAGAGGGAAACATCGATCAGCTGCCTCCTGCACATCCCCCACTGGGGAATTGCCTGCAACCCAGGTACATGCCCCTGACCGGAATCGAACCTGGGACCCTTCAGTCCGCAGGCCGACGCTCTATCCACTGAGCCAAACCGGTTTCGGCCTCAGGGTTCTATTTAATCTGTAGATTTCATTGTGTACTATGGATATTTTCACAATTTTTTTAAAAATAATTCTTTATTGTTTAAAGTAATATATATTGTATTACATATGTGTCCATTTTCCCTCATTGACCATAAATGAGTGATCATGTGATATTCATCTTTCTCCACCTGGCTTATTTTGCTTAGCATGATGCTCTCCAGTTCCATCCATGCTGTTGCAAATAGAGTTCCTCCTTTTTAACAGCAGCATAGTATTCCATTGCGTAGATGTACCACGGTTTGTTGTGTGTTGTTGTTGTTTTTTTGAATTTTTGTGAGTTTATATGAGCCAAAGATGTACCACAGATTT